AATCTTGCCGTTAGATCGCGGGATACATGTACTGATTTTCAAGGTTCGGAAATGGACTCAAGTTACCATTGCAGGGTATCTCCCGAGAAGTATGACCACTTTCGGCGCCCTCGGGCGACGATAGCCCCGAAGATGCGAGCCCGGGTCGAAGGTCAGAATAACTCTCAGTAATACCCGAGTGTAAACGGCACAGTTCATAATGGTACCGGAGCTACCACATCGAGATCGAGATGTTCTTGACAGGGACCGCGTGGCATGAGCGGCAAGAGTCGGGGGCCAAGTCTGGACCGAGAATTACCCATACAGAAGAATGAAGTCGTCAAAGTCGAATGGGGACTTCTGGCACGCAATTCCCAATGTGAGATCGTTAGGTCGGCGTTATCAGAATTTACGTCCGCCGGAGGCTGGTAGAGCTTATACAGTGGCATTATAGCCCCTGAATGGCCCAGTTCTGATACTTCAAGTCTCCAATACCTTCCAGAAGCCCCAGATATCCGGATATAGAAACCTGATTTTCCTCCTTCTTTCACAAGCTGTCGCACCATCAAAGTCTTTGCTGGTGCCGAACCTGTTTACTGGGAAACGGTTAGCCAATTTCCTGGATGCCAAGGTAGGATACGTGGCGGGGATTTAAGAGTACTCCGTGGCTGTACGATCGTTGTATAGCCGTAAGAAGGAATGCTATCCCCTGAGGACCCCGGCGCGACTTGCCCTTGATGTTGCATGGGGCAGGCTCATCCTAGCTTCAGCCGGGGGACGATCCGGGCCCACAACCCGAACGACTTTCTTCAGGAATGAGACCCCCTTCGAGTGTTGGAATGCCCCCGTTCATGCAGACATCTCAGCCTGGAACAGATTCAAGTAATGGTAATATGATCGCGCTGTAACTGCGCAACTATTCGCGTGAGAATGACGGTACCTATTCAATATGATATCCTTCCTAAATGCTCTTCGCCGCGCGTGCCTCCGAAAATCCGCAGATTCTTCATGCTTCACATTCAAAGTTTCCTTTTCTTCATGTTTCTAGCTTTTTACAATCTTTCTGGTATTAGTTCATTACTCCTCTTGGCGCCGTGCGCGTAAGTTCTCAACATGGTTGCGGGACCCAATGTCTCCGTCTTCGTCACAAGCATAATATTCACAACTCTTTCTTTCGTCCTCGTTGGGCTGCGATTATACACGCGCATTGTGGTGGTGCAAAATGTTGGAATCGATGACTGGTTGATGCCTGCCGCATTGGTAAGCTCAGTTTACCAACTCTCAGGTGGAAACGGGATGGGAAAGCTGAGATCTTCAACTAGGCGGCCTCAATCGGCTTTTGCGTCGTTGTCATGCATCGTGAGTATTTTGATTAGGCACATGCTAACATCGAAGAAACGTTGCTCACAGCACCACAGAAATCAAGTATGGATTAGGTATGCCGATGTCTACCATCGCAGAAGATGACCTGGTCCGATTCTTCCAGGTAAGTTAGGAATTACAGATGAATGTAATCGGAGGATTGGTACTAATGTTTCACATCGGCAGTGTCTCTGGGCGACGATTCCGACCTACAATCTAGCTCTGTTGCTTTGCAAGCTATCGATCGTCTTCTCATACTTGCGCGTGTTCAAGATCCCGACAACACAGAAGATTTGCAAGACCATGCTGGCTGTGCTCGCGGTATACGGTGCCTGGACTGTCTTTGGATCAATCTTCATGTGTGTTCCCGTACAGGCCTTCTGGGGCGACGGCATGGGGAAGTGCATGAACCGCTTGGCTTTCTGGTTTTCCAACGCAGCTTTGAACATTCTCTCGGACATTATCATTTGTTGCATTCCCATACCACTGATCAAATCCCTGCAAATATCCAAGAAGCAGAAGATTGCGCTCATCATGGTCTTCGCCGTAGGAGGATTGTGAGTCTCTGTTTGGCAGACTTTCTTGATCTGGTCTATAACTGACAAATTCTACAACAGTGTTTGTGTGACTTCTATGATTCGGCTCTACTCTCTTTACGAGATTTCCGTATCTACCGACACATCACGTAAGACTGAACTTGGAGAGGATCCGGCATAAAGCAACTAGTATATCATCAGGCTAACACCACCCGAATAGGAGATGGAGTCCACATTGCAACATGGTCCGGCATAGAGATCAACGTCGCCATTGCCTGCGCCTCTGTCCCTGCACTCAAGCCACTCATAGTGAAGGCCTTCCCGAAACTGTTGGCGAGCACTCAGCGCAGTGGGTATCGATCAGGTAACGCTTACAGTGGGATGAATGCCGGAGACTCGCATCACATGCAGTCAATGCGGAGTCGGAAGGCTACCAAGACGAATACAAACATCGCCATTGAGACAAAAATAGAGATTGTCAGCCGCAACGGTAGCCAAGCCGATTTGGTACGACAAGGAGGTGGAAACGGCACCATGGTGGCTGAGTGTTATTCAACAGAAGAGAGACCGCCGGCTCAAGGTCGTGATATGGTTTGAAGAGAGTGAATCTGTAAAAGAGTATATCATCTCAGCGTCAGAGAAAAGCAGTGTTGTAGGGCCACAGACCAAGAGGCGACGGGACAACGTGTTCATAATGCTACATGTAATGGGAGTTCGAGAGTAGATCCGGTCCCTAGCAAGTTGCTGTAGATCATGTAACGGACTAACAGTGAATTTCTCAACATACCTAGTAGAAAACCATCACGGCGTCTGGGAATTGTGGAATACTTGGAACGCAACTTGATCTTATCAGGGAGGCCCAATATTAGAAACTGTCCGAAATGGAACTATAAGTAGATGACTTCCCAGGTGACACGCTTGCATTGTCAACCAGAATCTTTCAATAATGATTCTAGACGAGCTACAACTTTTACTTTAGAACAACATTCTCTCCCAAAACTTTTGACTTCCTTTCCTAGAAAGTCTCCTGTGCCGGCCTCATATCCAACTCATGCGTCCAGAGGGAGCTCGGCTGCTGTGACAACCAAAGATACAACTCTCCAACATCTTCCGCGCGCATCCGCTTGCCGGTCTTGGTGTTCTCGTTCTCTTCATCGATAATTCCGCCATTGGCAATAGCATGAACCACGTGTACACCAAACTTGCTGTGTTCCTTTGCAATAGCCTGGGCTACCATCCTCGCGGCTGCTCGAGATGCACCATAGGCAGCGTACTGCTGATTTGTACGCATGGCTCCCAAAGTGCCCGTGAAGATGATGGTGCCCTTCTTCGCACCCTCAGTATCGGAAAGAAGCGTCTGCCCTCCATTCTGTGCGTACATAAGCTTCAACGCTTCTTGCGCAAATACAACGCCTCCGGTTGTGAAGGTGCTCATGCTGTCATTGAAAGCTTCTGGCGTTTCTTCGAGGAATGGCTTCCTGCTCGAGTTCTTGACGTGGTATATGGCGAGCTTGAGCTTGAGATCTTTGAAGTCTGCATGATCTGCGATTTGTTGGAAAGTCCGCCGGAGGTTTTCGGGCTCAGTGTCTGTAGGAAAGGGGTGGAGTATGCCATTGGAAGACTTGCGTAGATCGGTCGCAAGATTCTGGAGATTTTCGGGGTTTCTGGCAAGTAGCGCAACTGCCAAGTTGCCATGTTGGGGGCTGGCTAGAATTCGAGCGATCCCTGCGCCGGAAGTAGGCCCTGCACCGATGATGATTGCGAGTCCTTTGGGCGCCATTGTGTAGTCAGTCTCAACTTTATGGTGGTGTCTTGAAGTACGGTTTGATGTTTCCAATATCTGATTCTGATTACATGGTCTTGAGTTAGACCATCAGCATACCTCCCATTTATATACTTACTCATACACAGCTCACTGAATTGATTACAGTGGTGCTGGCTGGACTTCCCATGGGAACGGACGTCATTGATCGTCCGGTCCGTGCCCAGGCCGTGCCCCGCGCCGACTTATAGTGGAATAAAGTGATAGAATTCGGGGATAAGACGTCACGATTTGCTCAAGACGCCTATGTCCGATTTAGTGGCTGCAACCTGCTGACCATGCTGACGGAGGCAGCTCTGGCTGACTAAATCATGCTTGATGTCTATCATTACCTTAGCTAACAGTCAACTGAATAAGTTCTGTGTGCATTTCTCTATTTGTCAATAGCAGGCGATCTGGCCTGGCGGATGCCACCCTGATACTTTGGACATGGACATACACGCTCTTATCATTGCAACGTGGTGCAAATATGTTTGTCGACTTGAGTCGTTTCTCCGGCCGGCCCTACCGAACTAATCCATCTTCAAGATCCAAAAAGCTAAAGTAAATATGAATGGTGCGAGCCAACAACAGAGCCACGCCTAGGGGAATTCAAATATAAGCTAGTTGAAGTATCTAGTAAACTCAAATTTGCATCGCCTTGACCGGAAGACTTACTAATAAGGATTCCAACATTGGCGATATGAGACTGAGCGCCTTTGGGATCACGTAAGTACTCTGAGAGAAATAGAGTCTTGAAAGAGGCATGTAGCTTTGAGACCAGGTCTGGTTGAGTTGCTCGAATTAAGGCGGCCATTTACATCTTCAAGCAGCCATTGAACGTAGGCCAGTCCCCGCGGCGTTATTGGGATGTCTGTCGAAGACCTCAAAGTCCGTCATTCAGCCGGGCAATGGCGTCATCTTTACCGGTGTAATCGAGAATGGGAGATTTGACGTGATTACGTTCTTCCTCCCATCATTGGCTGTTTTCTTTAGAAAATCCATACATCTTTGCAATCAAGGCTACGCTCAAGCAATGTTCACGTAGTTCGGGTACTCTGAACCCCTCTTGGCGCATGTTGCAGCACACGGAGCCAATCGTAATCCTCTTGACCAAGTCTCGCTGCATGGGTGCGAAAGACCTCTAGGATTTGAATATTGCGACATGGCGGGGTCGATGATTAATTTTTGTTTGTTATACACTAGAGAAGAAGGTCCTCAGGTGCTTCCCTTGAGATAACTTACATCGTCCACCTCAAATGTGAAGCAGAGCTCATATTTTGCATGATTCCATACGTTAGGTATAGTAACATTCAAGCACGATGACCGCAACAAACCCCTTCTCCCAAATAAATTTCACGAGGTTTTTAGGACAAGCTTTAATTCTATCTGTTCTTATTCTGGTCGGCTATCTACTACAAAATGAAATAAAGAGGCATCGAGGTAAAATCAAACATGTTCCTGGTCCTCTTGGGTGGCCTGTGGTTGGCAACCTTTTCCAGGTAACTGAACATTTATATACCATGAGTGATCGTTCTTGGAGAAAGTAACTGATACAACGCAGAACCAAGACCAAGTCCCAGCAGAAACATACCGAGTCTGGGCAAAGAAGTATGGGCCCGTGTTCCAGATACAGCTAGGAAATACCACGGCTGTTGTCGTCAACACTGTAGAGTCTGCCAAACAGCTATTTCTCGGACAACGCCATGCGATGAATTCTCGACCAACCTTCTATGTATTCCATGGAAAGGTCAGCAAAGCCGTTACAAGTATCGGCACCAGCCCATGGGACGACTCCTGTAAACGTCGCCGCAAGCTTGCAGCTGGGGCATTGAATCGTCCACGGGTAGAAAGCTACGCGCCTATCTTGAATTTGGAGGCACGGGAGTTTCTCAAAGACCTATACGAAGAATGCTGTGGTGGTTCGGTGGATCTCGACTTCCGTCCGGCTGTCAGGCGCTTTGCCCTCAATCTTAGCCTGACGCTCAACTATGGGACAAGAGCCTCCCATGTCAAGTCCCTGGAGGAAGATCCTCTATTTTCCGAGATAATTTATGTCGAATCCGAGATCTCAAAACTTCGCGACACAGGAAAGAACTACACTAACTACATACCCTTGCTGCGATACTGGGAGCCGATTGCTAGTGTGGTAGGTTTACAGTCCACACCGACGAATCACGCTGGGGACATTGGCCGTCGAAGATTGGAATACAACGACATACTCCTCAGCCGACTAAAAGACGAGATTGCTCGGGGTAAAGACAAGCCCTGCATTCAAGGCGCTGTTCTGAAAGACCCTGACTCGGCAACCCTTACGCGAGAGGAGTTGATCAGTGTGAGCCTCAGTATGATGGCAGTAAGTTCATCCTACAATTAAGCCGGAAGCTCATGATGGACTTGCCCTGACATATTCCAGGGCGCCGACTCGAACCAGCCTACCTTGGCTTGGGCTATTCTTCTACTTGCACACCGCCCTGATATTCAAGACAAAGCATATGCCGCCATCCAAGATGCTGGTGTTCTACAGCAATCATCCAACACATATGCTTCTACAAAGATTGACTACATAGATGCACTGACAAAAGAGATCTCGAGATACTTTGTCGTCTTGAAGCTCGCGCTACCGAAGGCGACATACGCTGATGCTACCTGGGAGTCCGCCACGATTCCGGCCAACACTCTGGTTTTCTTGAACAGCTGGTCATGCAACAGAGGTGACTTTGCCACAACTCAGATGAAGTGTCATATTAGACTGACCGCCAAGCCAGACCCTGACCTATTCAAGAAGCCCGAAGTATTCGCCCCTGAGCGTTGGCTTCCAGATGCACCGGATCAATACGCGCATCAATTCGCCTTCGGTATGGGGGGCAGAATGTGTGTAGCGTCTCATCTTGCACACAGTGCCTTATACACAGCCTTTTCGCACTTGATCGCCCGATTCAAGATCTTGCCTGCAGACGGTAAGGATTCTGTGGAGATCGATCCGATTAAAGGACTTGATGGCCTCTCGTTTGTTGCCAAACCGAAAGGTTTCCAGGCTAAGTTCGTTCCAAGAGATGGAGCACGATTGGAGGGTTGGTTGAAAAACCCTGATGAGTGCTTGTGCAAGTCTCCGTGAACTCTTCATTCTTGAAAAGAATAGATGCAGTCGGTGGCAGGCTTGTTTGTGTCCAACCAATTCAATATTGCTAGGACATGCTGATTCCATTTGGGCTTGGGGACTCCAGGTAAATTGTAAGTGGAAGTATCATTTACGGACGTCCGTGTTGAAGTCAAGTAGAATCATACGTATCAGCACCTCAGAGATGGTCTGAAGAAATTTGTGCGACTTGTCAGTGTAAACTGCCACCCATTCTATCGGCGCCACGCCTGTACATTTGCCTTAATATCTTGTAAAACCTACGTGAATGGTCCGATGCCTTGAGATTAATAAGGTGTCCCGGGAAATGCACGTAGAAGGACTAGAAGCATAGCTTGCCGTTTTCCCGACATACAAAAGCCTAATGTAAGCCCGGCGAACAGCTCTCCACTAATCAGGACCGCGCAACATCCGAACATCGGGGATCAGACTGCATGCAGTCAGCAGCCACTCGCAACTGATCATTGTGATGGATAACGGACTTGGTGCAGTATGTCGCCATAGGTCGTGCGGGCCATTCCACCGAACCCCGCCGGACACCATTAATTACTTAAACCACCGAGCTACACTATTCGGACATTTACAACACGGTTCTCGGCCCAATAACTCTATGCCCAGTCGCTAACTCACATCAATTTAACGGGAAACGGTTTACAATCTTTGTGTTTCAAGATGTCTTCTCCAAACCTCAACGCTGCCGACCTTTTCGGCGTCAAGGGCCTCATCGCCGTAGTCACGGGTGGGGGAACTGGTACGTCATTCATCAACCGCAGTAGCAACCCTCCAGTGTTTGCTTACAATTCGACATAGGTATCGGTCTCATGATTGCACAAGGTCTCGAGGTGAACGGGGCAATTGTATACATCATCGGCCGACGGCAAGAAGCTTTGGAACAGGCGGCAAAGACAGCTGTAAGTTTCTGCGAGAGCGTTGGGCTCAGCAGAGTCTATCACCCATACCGGTTATGCATGGCCCTTATGTTCGAGAGGTATCACGACTGATGTTGGCGCTCCAAATGTGAATAGAAAAACGGCAACATTCGCACCATCCAAGGTGATATCACCTCAAAGAGCGACCTCGAGCGAGCGGTCGCAGAGATCAAGGAGGCTCACGGATACGTCAACGTCGTCATCGCCAACTCAGGCATCGGCGGACCGGCTCTCAAGGGCTTGCCCCCTAACCCGACCATTGCTCAGTACCGCGACTTTGTCTTTGGCTGGGAGCAGAAGGACTTCACCGAGACCTTTGCTGTGAACGCTACCGGCGTGTTTTTCACGGTCGCAGCATTCCTGGAACTTCTCGATGAGGGTAACAAGCGCAGCAATTTCAAGCAAAGGAGCCAAGTCATCGCGACTAGCAGCATTGGCGCGTACAACCGCAACCCGATGGGCTTCGCTTATGGAGCGTCAAAGGCAGCTGTGGTGCACATGTTCAAGCAACTGTAAGCAGTCCTGAAAGAGTTACAAGAGCCGGCCTCGAAACTGACATCTATCAAGGAGTACCACGCTGGTCCCATTCAACATCCGCGCCAACGTAATTGCGCCTGGATGTAAGTCTACTTCCTTCCGACGCCACGTAGGGCACTCGTTTTGGCTCGGAGTCCATGGGGTGGGATCTTCAATCATCTACTAATCTCAATCTACAGTCTACCCGAGTGAGATGACAACGGCAACGGTCGAGGCCCACAAGGAGGGTTGGCCCAAGACTACCATTCCTGAAGAGAGGGCGGGAGACGTAGAAGATATGGCTGGCGCTGTGTTGTTCTTGGTCAGCAGGGCAGGCGCTTACACCAACGGCAATGTGCTCGTAACAGACGGTGGAAGGCTTGGAATCGTGCCGTCTAGCTACTGAGCGACTTGGAGTTGCAAGTGTGAATACTTGAGAGGCGTTAAACAAGAACTTTGATATAGTCTCAGTCCTTCGTTCTTTTGGTGATACACCTGAGATTGAAAGTTCTGTTTTGTGAATAAAATTGAAGCTTGTGGTCCATCGAGAGGTAACTGTGCCTCGGCTGTGGTCGAGAGAAAAACGAACTTTATCAAAACTTCAAAAGAACAGATGTCTAGCGCACAAAGAATAGCCTGGTTTGTGAGATAGGTCAAGGCCTACGCATGAAGAGACGCTAATTACGCTAATTCTTCTCTACACTTCAAGATATAATGGGCGACAGTGATCGCTCATCGTGAAAAGATGAAGTCTCAGATGTTGACCAGCCCAAGTCTCATGTTTCCGATGGCTCGTATTCGTGACATTCGGAAGAGCTCCTACAAGCGAAACCCAGGGGAAACGACACTATTTGAGTGTGAGAAATGCGGAGATCATAGCAGGCTGCCCCCGCTACTCCTGCACATCTGAACCGGGGTGATGTCACCCTAACGTGCCGCAAACACATGGATACAAGGGATGTAGCCAACCAGAACCGAGAAGTTTCGCGATCAGCGCCTCCAAGTACCGGGAAGGAGCAATTATCCATCCGGCATCTTCCCGCTATTCTAGGTTCTGACTGGAGTTCTTGGCTTCGGCTGGACAACCCTCCCGCAATGTCCCAATCCACGCGAACCACTGAGACATGAGATTGGCTACATTCTTCACCCATTTGGGGCGGACAACCTCGAACTCACAATCGCAAGCCAATGAAAGAACAACAAAGAAGTAGGCATCATGGGGGAGCTGAAAATCGGATGTGGACCACCTCTTCCCAATGTTTGTGTCTTAACCTAGCCAAGTACGTCCTGGAGGCAAGTGAGCAAACGAATCGGCGCGCTCCTACAGGCTACTGGTAAGTCGAGGCATCATAGCGCTGGTCGCGCTGGCGGCCACTGGGTTCCAGACTGAAAGGGTGGACTGGTCATCCATGCTCCTGCTGAAACGGAATCTACACATCCGATGCAGGCTGGTATGGGAACCATCACTCTTTATATCCATGACCACACCCAGTTGCCAGCTTTCAGCTACCTTTGAGGGCCTGCATCCGAACTTGCTTTGAATTTCTGGCAGAGCTTTGCTTGGGAGTCGAGAGTGGTATCTCATCATGTTAAGTCCTTTGTCAGTGGCGCTTTTGGCGCTACCGGCGCTTCTCTTGTACCTGTACTCTGCCCTTAGCTATCGCCGGCTGAAGCAATACGCCAACTTTCCTCAGCTGAAGCCTTCAATAGTATGGGGTCACCTCAAGGCCATAAACGAACACCACGTGAAGCGCAATGAGAAGGACTCTCAACTCGGTCCGTATTAGCGACGGGAGGTATGTGGTGCTGTGGGCTAATCTCAGTTTCGCAGATCCCACCATGGGAGATATGCTCGAGGAGATCGGTAACCCTCCCATCATGCTTCTAGACCTTCGTCCAGTCAGCCGGCCCCTACTGGTCATCCGAAGCCATGAGATCGCGGAGCAGGTATCAAGACAATCAAAGATGTGGCCCTACAGCGCACCGAAGTCCGACACCATGATGTATCTCACACCGCTGCTGGGCGAGAAGTCAATCGTAATGTCTCAAGTAAGAGGTTCCTTCGCATTTTTCACGTTTGTTCTCTTTTTACAGAATATGGACGCGAAAACATCCGTCAGAATATGATTTAATGTGGACTCTTCTCGCAGGGCTCCGGATGGAAAGACATGAGAAAGCATTTCAACCCTGGCTTCGCTCCCCAGCACCTCATGAGTCTGATGCCAGTAATTTTGGAAAAGACTCAGACCTTCCTCGCCAAACTCGACGAACTCGTCAGGACGGGTGAAGAGTTTGAGCTGGAGCCTTTGTGCACTAATCTTACTTTCGATATCATTGGTAAGTCTCATCAAGTTTCTGTAGTCAGAGCAGCATCTCACTAAGAATTAACAAACAGGTGCCGTGACGATGGATGTTGATCTTAACGCACAGCTTCCCGAGGACCAACAAATAGAGTTCATTAAGGGTTACAAGGAGTTTTTAACCTCATACAGGGAGGGCAGTGGTATACTGAAGTGGTGGGAGAACCCACAGCTGGGCAGGAAACGAAGGCGACTTGCCAAGTCTTGCAACGTCTTCCTCGAGGATGTCATTCGTCGCAAATTCAACGATGTGAAGCAGGACAAGGGGTCATCGAGCCGGAGTATTCTGGCTCTCAGCTTGAAAGACACACAAGTCTTGACACAGGATATCATCGACGGGACGAAGGATCAACTCAAAACCTTCATGTTCGCAGGGCACGACACCACCAGCATCCTTCTCCAATGGGCCTTTTACGAGTTATCAAGGACGCCTCGGGCAATGAAGAGCCTTCGGACTGAGCTAGAGAGCCTCTTCGGCCAGGACTTGAGCCCCGAAGTCGTCCGGGAAGCTCTACTCGCCAGGGGTGAGGAGATCACCCAGAAGATGACCTATACCTCGGCAGTCATTAAGGAGATTCTGCGCCTGTACCCACCAGCTGGGACCGCGCGCCTTTGCCCCCCGGGCGCGAACTTTCACTTGCAGTTACCAGACAACAGCAGCCTCTGCGTTGATGGGATGGTTCTGTACAACTGTGCCACTCTCATCCAGCGAGACCCTGACGTCTATGGAAGCACCAAAGACGATTTTGTACCCGAGCGATGGCTCGGGAATACGGACACGTCAATGGCGACGAATGACGACGAGAAGATGGGCATTGGCAAAGCTGGCGAGAACGAGATTCCTGCCGCCGCATGGAGACCTTTTGAGAGGGGTCCTAGGAACTGCATCGGACAGGAGCTTGCCAACATCGAGGCCAGGGTGATTTTGGCTAGTGTTGTGGGCAAGTATGTCTTTGAAAAGGTCGGTCTAGGGGAGGCTACGCTGGACGAGAAGGATCGTCCCATCATCAACGAAAAGGGGCAATACAGGTCCAATACACAGCTTTACAACGTAAGCCCTCCATTAGGATAAGTCCATTAGGAGGATCACCCACGAGCACGCCTCACTAACTTGTCGCAGACGAGACAAATTACTGCCCGGCCGGTTGACAATATGAGGGTCCGAGTGAAGCAC